GAAGAATATCTAATTTATTTGGTTAGCGTCTACAACCTGGTAAAGTAGGCTGCCACTAAATAACATGGGGAGTTAAATGAAGTATTTTATCGAAAACAGGATTATCTGTTTACTAACAGATATCATATGAAATATGTCACATTTGGTGGATTTATCATCTGTACTTTCGAAACACACAAACAAGGAGGCTAAAATTACTTCATTTCACATTACCACCCACCACATTTCAGCTTCAATTTGAAGGCTAGAAAAAGGCAATATTTCAAAATTAGCTAAAAAGGATTGCGTTTCAAGCATAACTAATTCCTCATCATCATATCAGTGTATTCACACGGCTAAAGGATTTACTTTACGCATTTTTACTTCTATCCCCTTGATATTCTTTGTAGTTTTCGATATCCACGTTATATGCTTTGCATCATTTCAACTGCACGTGTTTAGTGGTGATTCGATGAACACCGATTTTATTGACTAACCTTTCTTTCCACCTAACTATATCACTTATTCATATCTTCACCTTATCCCACCCTGCTGTGAGACTGAATGCAAGTGACTGCACTGAAATGGCTGAGTATTTTCATGACTTATCTAACTCAGTAGAGTCAATTATTCTAGGTCTAGCTAAATTCCAATGTCCCGATAGTCTAATTTATTAAATTCGATCTACTAGTTTGACCTATGTAACTGACCTCACAGTCACTACACAGTATCTGGAAAATTTTATTATTTTCTCATTCGGATATATCAGGTTCTTCAAATGACAGTGTTTGTCCCTGAGTCAGTTGGTTTGTTTAAATTCCACTATAAATATAGGCTTATTCAGAATTCTATGCTATGTTCAGATGTGTCCTCCTCTATGTCGAAGTGTTTTTGAGGCTTTGAATTCCTTATTATTTAATATTATTTAAGTTATCGTTCTCATTTTCCATATGGATCTCCGTACATCTGGAATAAAATCTGGCATATCCTTAAACACTGAGAATGCTTTACTTTTATTTGTTTGATTTCATTGTTTGTATTTTCTGACTTGTTAGTTGGGTTCCTGGCGTTAACATTGTCCATGTATCAATACTATGTCACTGTATGTTGGTTGAATTATAATTACTTATGAAAATATGATCTACCACAATGACGTAATTCCACACTTTCATTAACACGTGAAAAACCTCCAATGTCTAAACAAAAGGAGAAATCTCATAAGACATTTATAGTAAAGATGGCGTCTGAGGAGATTTATGCTTCCTCCTCATTCAGTGGCCTCAAAAGCCTCACATAATATCAGAGATCCAGTTAATTCATACTTATCGATACGACTCAGATCGACAATCAGTGAATACATGACTTTCATTCACTTTACTTTATTACTTCAGTCTTGATGTGTTGAAAACTCAGAGATGTATTATACATACGACGGTATTTTTGTTGTCCGAATTAAAAGATATTTGATGTGGCTCAGTGAGTTTCATTCGAAAAATGACTATTCATTCAAATGCTATCCATTCCACGTCCTCGAAATGACAAGAGGCATCATCTGGTCTGATTGGAGCAGAAACATTCCTGCTAACATGCAGAACACAGAATCATATTTCTTCGTTACTTTTCTTGTCATCCAGGAGTGTTTATTCTAATGAATGCACTGCTCGTGATTGTTGAAATGATTTTTTGTAAATTCGATTGTACAGCGATGCAAACAAAGTCAGCGTAAAGAGAGTGTTCATTTAACTAGTTATTCTCCTCATTCCAACCAGAACTATTAGTTAGAATTTATTGAGTTAAACAGATTAACATATATCTATTACTGTTGTTATTATCGTTGGCTACTATTCCTCTAATTTGTCAGTGGAACACGGGACATCAGTAACGAATTGATGCTTCACCTTCATTAGGCGAACGTCGCGACTGCCCACAAGTTTCTGTTTCCTCCTAACGCAATGTACACGATCTCATCTTCGGACACACTCGATTCAGGTACCACTGGAAGACGTTCCTGTCACCTGATGTTAATCAACCGTCTCTTCAAATCATCTCCACTTCTTTCTGTGTATTTGTGGGGTGATGGGTGCTTTGTTGATTCGTTTCCAAAGTCGCTTGTTGGTAATCCTTTCTGGCTGGTGGCTATCTTACCTTGAGTATGGCGTGGAAGCATATGTTGTTAGAAGTCTGCAGCAGGCTGTTGCAAATGCATTTTATTGACGCGTGTGACAAATCTATGTTGTCTGTAAAAACACTGATTTGAAATTACCGTTGGAGATCTAGATCCTGTCTATCGTGCGGCGCGAAGCAGGTCTCTATACTGATTTCTAGATTGATGAAAGTCTGTCTTGCTTTTACTGTCCTGCATTTGAAACCTGTAGTTGGAATGATATTGTCTAGATAAGTGAAGGTCTGTAGTTTGTTTGAGATGCTCTTTATAACGCGCACTGCAAGTCTCTGATCCGTATAGTGGCACTGACTGACCTCACATTAAAGTTGAAAATCATGATCTTATTTTCCATGCTGAAGAAAGCTGCTGACCTCCACACAGACTTGAGAGTAATGAAAGCTTGTCTTGCTTACCCTATCCTCTCTTTTATATCCTCACTAGTTCCGTCTGCCTGTAGTTGAAACAATGCTTCCTAGGTAGGTGAGTGAAAGATGTTGCTTCTTTCAGATTTCTCCCATTTATGCTGATTGTCACTGTTGTTGTTGGCCAGGAATCTTCATCACTGAAGGCCTGTCTTTGATGCTTCTTCTGCCAGCTTGTTGCTTTTCAGTTGCACATATTCCAGTTTGTGGGAAGTCAGACATATATCATCGGCGAAGTCCAGTGCCTCCAATTTTTTTGTGTGGGTCCATTTTGTTCCTGTTTCCTCACTGCCCGCCTCTGTCTGCCGTATTATCCAGTCTACCGCCAGAAATCAGGAAAATCATTGGCGATAGTAGGCAGCCTTGCCTTAATTCCGTCTTCACTTCGAAGGTTTCCGTTAGTTTCCCGTTGTGGATCACCTGGCATGCAGCGATGATAAGTCGTGCTACAAAAAGTCACCCAATTATTGATAATTGAAGAACCATTGGTGCAGTATTATTTTCTGACAACGTTTCAAGAATAATTTACTGCTCATAATTAATACTGTATCACTGTGCATTATATCAGATAGACCTATCGAACATGGAATTACATTCTACCATAGCGCCTAAATTCCACTCTTATTTTGATACTTAAACTCAGAAATTATTGACCGAAATTTGGCTTCAGCTTTTCTTTTTCAGTTGATGTGGAAAAAAAAGATAAAGTCGCAGTGGACTGAAATTTTAAGACCTGTCACTAACTGTAGGTAACTTTAAAATAGTTTACTAGAATTATTAGGCAACACAGAATTCTCCAGCCTACATAATACCTCATTTTCAATGCCTTTTGCGTTGTTTAAATCAATCAGCTAGGCCTTTAAATTGTATTTTGTACCCACGCACACTTTTAAAAACAAAATCGTTTTTTATCCTACTGATCCATCTTCTGTGTTGAAAAATAAAGCTAAAATCGCCTGGGCTATTACAACACACTGCAAGTCAAATAGTAGTACATTCCGTGACAAGTTTCTAATCGCTATCAAAAGTCACCTGAAACTTTTGTCCAAGGAGTAAATATTTTGCGGTATTTATTATTTTATTCCTTTGCTTTCAGAGTGGAGTAAAAGCCTTTAAGTTTAGACGTTTCAGTAGCACTGGTGTGATTTCTACGAGGTGAGGTTTCTAGCTTAACACCCAACCTTCCATCTTTACCCGGCGTACTACCGACTAAGCGAGGTCTAGGAGTTAGTTAGCCGGGTAGTCGAACCCCAGACACTGTGAGTGGTTGTGTGAGTATTTCATTAGTGAATCGTTGAAGAAGTGTTTTGTGGTAAAAACATTTAGAACCACATACTATATTCAAAGTTATCGAAATTATGTTGCATAATTTCTGAAAAACAGTATATTTTGAACTTCATCACTTAACAGTATTTTCTGGCAATATCTAAAAATAAAGCTTTGAACTAGAGTCCATAGCAGCGTTACATCGATCAGCCTACTGACCATGCTGTACAGCTGATCGATAGCCATATCAGTTATCAGTCACTAGGCATTACATGTATCCGATAGCAAGAGTGCGAAGTATGAAACACTTAGAGTCAACTAAAACAAGTAATATGCTTGATCAGAGAATGATGTATTCAAGTATACACTGTCTAATGGTGAAAAGCGTTAAATGAAACAAATAATTCGCGTGAATTAGGTCATAATTGCAGTGAGTTACAGTTAGTCAATAACTACGACTGGTTTTACAAACTGGAGAATCTTTTCATTGGTGGATGGTGACTAGCAGAGGAATCCAGGATGTATATTTGGTCCTATTTGGGACTCGTCATCTGGATGTACCTGCATTCCCCATTGAGTGATGATGTTCCCAATAGACGTGGCTCTCATGGCCCGAGTGGTCTAGTGGATAACGCTTTGGCGTTTGAAACTATGGGTACTAGGTTCGTGCCTCAGTCGGAACTTCATCACTCAGTGACTGAGAAACAGAGGTACATCCAGATGACGCGTACCAAATAGGAGGAAATGCGCATCCTGGATTCATCGCTAGTCACCATTCACCAATTAACTTCTGATTACATGCCCAGACATTGTCGAAGCATCTGCACAAAAAGCCGACATGTCAACCTGAGACCGATCACTTCGGTCCAATCAAAAGACGTGAAAATCTAAAATTCAATTAAATGGAGAATCATTTTCTAAACTGTCAAAATTGTTCCCTTCTATTCCACTTGTAAATCCATCAGCATAAACCTACGGCACCATTATTCTCTTAAAATGCTGACTCAACTTTAGGATATCACTGTTTAAGCTCTAATAGGTTAGTGAGAGCTGATTTTGCTCGATATCATCACTTCTCATAGCCTACCTGGCCAATTAATTAGGTTACAGATCTGGAAATACAGTACGGTTTGTTGTAGTCAAATATTGTGTAACCGCTTAAAGTACTCGTTAATACGAAGGTATTTCATATTTTCAGGCTTTCTGACACTGTATTTCAAAGTGACTTCAGTCAATATCATTTACAAGATACAAATTCTGTGTTACAAATAAACCACGCCGTTCTACTGAACTCATGATGGGTAAAACACGACTAGTTGACTGCCTAACAAAATCAATGAATAGTATAACTCAATGTAAGTGAGAACAAAATAATTTGAAAATCATTATTATTATTATTATCCAGGATGTGTGAAATTCTGTCTTGTATTGTCACGATTTCTGGTTTAACTTTAATGATGATGCATATAAAAAGAAAATTAAATAATGGTATGACATAACATGACTAATAGAATAATCTTAATTTTGATAACCACACGTCATTCTATAAAATGTATTACTTCATTGAAGATGAAAACCACCATTGGTCATTTCAAATGATGAGCGGTAAATTATGTGCATTCATCATTGATTTTAAATGGTCAATTCACATTCCATGTTTCAGCTTGTGTTTTTGTTTTAAACGATGAATAGAATTACATTTAAAACAATTACTAAGTGAACTACATTATTTGTATACGAAGAAGAGAAGAAGACAATTATTATTAGTAGTATTATTAAAAATATTTAAATTATATTATTGCTGCAGGTTATGATGATGGACAGGAATGAAAGGGAGGATGAGGATGAGATTCTTGATGACGGCAGAATTAATGACTGAAATATTATTATCAGTAGTCTTTGACACTGGACAAAATGAGTCTATGAAGGTAAGACAAACTCACACATATAAGGAGGATTGATGAATGTATTGCTTTCAGGGTTGGTAGTTAATTATTAAAGACATGTGGTTTCAACCAACATTCTAGTGACGATGTATGGATCACAGTTGGACGATGGACGTCTGTCTTCTAAATAACCATAACCATTTTCAGCAACTTGTCTTGGAATACGTACACTACTGCCTCTGTTTGCGACACCTATAGATGGATGTGTTTAAAACAAAAAGAAGCGATGCGTATTAATAATTTGATTACAAAATGGCTCCGTGAAAAATGAATGCAAAATAAAAAAGTGCATTCCATGTCAGATAAGTTTATTTCACTTTAAAAAAAAAACAGTTACATAGCACTAATAACTGGATTAATACTATATCACTGTGTGTTATATTAAATAAATTTACCTAATGCGGAATTACATCCTTCCTTAGTGCCTAAATTCCACTGTTACATCAAAAAGTGTACAGGTCTATGGTTACGTTCATTGGTTCATTCTTCAAAAGACATCCTCTGTAAAACTGTAACATGTAATTGAATGCTGTTGTTTTTTTTTTGAAAATTTAACTGATACCTTCTTAAATCGTATTATTAATTATTATTATTGTTCCCTTGGGTTCCTAGTGGAACATAGGGCTTCAACTGCACGTCTCCACTTGCCACTTCTGTCTTCCTTATGCTGCTCTTTTCACCTGGATCCATGTTAGTCCATATTCTTTCAACTCCCCTTCACACGATCTCCTCCATATCATCCTTGCACTGACGTCCCACGCGCCGCTTCTCTTTCAGCCTGATTCCACTCAAGCAATGGCCTGACGCGCGCGCGATGTCACCCAGCAACATCTTCAGCGAGTAGTGTCCAATCCATCTCCACTTTCTCCTGCATATTTGTTGTTGTTGGGCGATTGGTTCTTGTTTTGTCTGTTCCCATAGTTTGTTCTTGTTGATGGTTCTTTCCGGCCCGACCATCTGATCCTCAGTGTAGAGCGAAGACAGTTGTTGGTTGATGAAGATCTGAAACAGGCTGTTGGAAATATTCTTTGTGACTCGTCCGCCAAGTTTCTGATCCGTTCCGTATAGAAGAACTGACTGACTTGACGTTTGTATTGAAAATCCGATGGAATTTTGTTGTTGATTCTGGCTGAGTGACGAAGATTTCCAGATTGGTTTCAGGTTGATGAATGCGTTTCTCGCCTGCCTTCCTGATTCTCGCTCGATTTGACATCTTCGTCCGTTCCGACTGGCTGTAGTTGAGACAATGCTCTCCAGATAAGTGAATGAACTTAGATCGTATTGATTTATGTGAAATTGTGACAAATTTTTTCCTAAGCTAAAAATGAGACGCATTTGCCAGTCATCACATTCTGGCTTAATGTTGGAAGACTTCCATATTTGTTCTCAATTTGCCAAACTTAGACTATTGTTATATTACCCTTCACACTTAAAGAGTGCTGGAAGCAATCTAAGGTGATACATCTTAAATTATGAGTTAAATAAGGAACTCATATCTTCTCTTGTTAATTACCCTGGTGCTGAAATCAAAAGAGTATTTTGCTTGCCCTAGTCATCTGTATAAAATACACTCAAATGTAAAACTAACCTCTTTCCCTATCCACCTTATTATTATTTTATTCTTTTACGTTCCGAGTGGAACATAGAGCTTGAAGCTAGAGCTTAAGAAGTTCGATAGCAGTAGTTTTATTTTTACGGGGTGTGGTTGCTATTCTCATATCCAACCTTCCCTCTTTACTGGCCTTATTACCGGCTTAGTGAGGTTTAGGAGTGCGTCGGCTGACGATCGAACCACAGACTAAATGCTGTATCGTTGGCGAGCACGCCGAACCGGCTATATACTCTATCCACCTTATTAACTCAACATGTGGTCTTATCATTACTGACGATATTTAAGCTAATACATTTGACTCTTGAAGCAACTCCGGTGGATGGTGACTAGCGGTGGAATCCAGGGGAGACGCTTGTTTCGTCCTGCTTTGGACTCTTCATCTGAATGTAACTGCATTTCCAGTGAGTGATTGTGTCCCTATAGGAATTTGAACCTAGTACCCATCGCTACAACTTCCGAAGCGTTATTCATTGGACTATCTGGCTAGGAGGGCCACTTTTGTGCAACAGGTACAAGTCATTATTTGTTTTTAATTCAATTTTGATTTTCTTGGCGACTGATAGGGACTGAAATTTCAACGGAGGCCAAACATTTCAGTCAAATCAATCAACAAGAAGGTGAAGACTGAATTAAAAAAAATAGTACATGACTGTATTTTTACACTACAGATTTTTCATATGATTAATTAACAAATGATCAATTCATTAACTGTTCTAAATTATCATTATCTTACAAGTTAAGAATGATATTAGATGAATTTATCTTATAACTATGATCTTGATTTGATGGTTTTTTATCAACTAACTGAAATGCTATAATTTTGATTTGATATAACTTTGATATATTGTCTATAAAATCTTTGGATGAGTGAAGGGCTTGTCATGGGAGATGAAATAAAAATGAAAATATATTACTTTACTTAACGTGTTGTTTTTAAAAAAAATAGATATTCTTACAATAGAAAAGTGTTGATAATGGTTATTCTCAAAAGAATGGTTACTGAACAAAGAATATTCTTTTCGATGGCCTCATTATCAGGTTCTACGGTTATACATACATAATAGTGAATGAATCTGTGTAACCGACACCGTTAATGCTGTTTAAATAATATCGAATTAATATTAATATCGATGGATTACAGTTCGACAGCATCAACATAACAATACAACGTAAATCAGAGAAATTAGGAGAGATAATAATACAAATTGTGGGTCGGTGGCACAGTGGTTAGGAGTCTCACCAACCATGCACATGGTCCGAGGTCCGACCCCCTGCCGACGAACACCTGATATCTGTGGTCGGTCTGCGAAATTTGAGCTACCGATATCCATGCTGAAATTTCCATACCTGTACTAAAAATATGGTGTGGAATCAAGCTGTAATCCGAAAAAAAATTGATGAATTTATAGTCTCCACTGAAAGCCAACCAGGGCATTAGTAGTGGCTGGACGTTTTTTTCTGCACACAAAGCCAATGTTCTTTCCGGGGAATCGTGATAGCCTCATCTGTTTGGAGTATGTGGTACCTGGATATTTTTGTCAGTTTGTTGGGTACTTGATAGATGACAGAGAAGGATCTGATTTTAGACCACATGGTCTAAACCGGTCACAAAGCCAACATTGGAGAATTCTTCTCTATTATCTACCGGGTATCAAATCAATTGCCAGAAATATCCAGGTACGCCATACTCCAAGCAGCAGATACTATCGCGACTCAGCTGAAACAACCAGTGCTTTGTGTGCAGAAGAAGTAAGTCCAACCACTACTACTGTCCAGGCCGGCCTCCAGTGGAGGCTCTAAATTCATCAGTTTGTATTATTATCTTTGCTAATTTTCCTGGTATTCAGTGTATTGTTATGTTGATACCATTAAACTGTAATCCATTGATATCATTATCATTGGTTCGATGTTATTTAAACAACATTAATGTTGTTAATAACACTAATTCATTCACAATTATGTATTACTGTAGAATCTAATTACGATTATTCTGTAAAGTTTCGATTACAAGAAATCATATTCATAAAGTGAAAGCTTTAATATTGTCTTAGTTACAAATACTAACATACCAGATGAAAAGTCATTCATACTGCTTGTTTCATGATTACCAGTTAGACGTCGTTGATTGTCCAAACCATGTTTAGGATCATAGGATTGAATATGCTCAATGTGTTTGTGAGATAACTTCTCCACAGCGTCTTCTATTGCTCTGAATAAGATAATAATAATAAGGAGAATATGACATTTTTTAAAATGTGTAAGCAATAACCCATTAAAATCCAAAAGCACAAAGTGAAATATGGAACCTGAACTTCTGATTAGGCTAATATTAATATAGTTAATGAGTTTTCTATTTGGAAATCTGTGAATGAATACAAATTTCTAATTATAGTTGACGTGGCAGGAGGTCCATAAAAGTTAGTTCAACAAATATCCAGCAGGTCATTAGTCTCACGCATGGTATGACCATTAAAATTTCGGTTGGTCCCTCAAAAATCTAAAAATAAATACAATTGATCACTACTTTGACTTAGTGGACTATAAACTTCGAAATGATTGTCAATAATTCTAATGAATTTACCTTTCATCTTGTCCTAAATGATAGACAAACTCCAGTTACATTTTGAATCAGAATACCGGATTCTACATCTGTCATTCCCTTGAATTTCGTAGCTGTAATGCCTAAGAAACAGCAGGGCTCATTCGATATAAGAATGAAACTTGCGTACCGTGGTAGAGTACAACTCCAAAAATAAGATCAATTTATTTGATAAAAGAACACAGTGTCTCATTAGTAGTAACTGATTATGTTTCGAGTACAATTTATTGCTCTGATTGGTATCGAGGCACACTCATAACTTTTAATCTTCACTTTATAATTCCATTATTTATTATCCCTTGATATTTTAGTAGTAATATTTTCTATATCTTGGATGCTAGCTTTGCTTCACTCCTATTTCACGTGTTCAGCGTCGATGAGATGAACGAAGCCTTAGTGATCAACCTCTCCTTTCACATTTAACTGAATCCTTAAATTCCAATAATCCGACTACCACCATATCTACTCGTCTGACCAAGGGAGTTAACCTCACAGTCATTATTCATCGAATCTACACCTAACAAGTGCAATGAAAATGACGAAACACCATCACCAGATATATCAAAAATATTACTCACATAAATATCAAATCATAAGAAATATAAATGCTTCGTTTTTACGAGTTGATCACGGATTGATATCAGCCAGAGAACTATTGAAAACCAGGGATTACTGGACAGCTACTGTTTCATCCTAGTTTGGGAATCATCGGCAGTACGCACCCACTGCCAGGGTTCGAACCCAGGACCTTCCGGTTACAAGGCAAGCTGGCTTGTACAACATTCATCCACTGGGACCGGATTCAATGGCTCATAAATTCTAACTTCTACCAATTCGTGATTTAGCGCGACCTCAACCATTGTCGTTGGTGGGATATCCATCCACACATGTGACATCTAAATGGACCTCACTGGTCACGACTTCTCACTGGAACCCCAGGAAACTCCATCCCACTAGCGAGCATCAGTGGGTGGGTACTGCCGATGATTCCCAAACTGGGATGAAACAGTAGCTGTCCAGTACTCCCTGGTTTTCAATAGTTCTCTAACTGATATCAATCCGTGATCAACTCGTAAAAACATAACTAACACCTTACAAACCAGACTATAAAAAAATAAATGCTTTGATATAATTCTCAGAAATAAACTGTACTCGAAGCGTACTCAGTAAACAATAGTGTATGACCGACTTCTTTTATCAAATAAATTTATTCTATGATGGTAGTGCTTATTTAATTTTTACTTCTGACATTAATTTTGTCTTATCTTCCCTTATTTTCACCAGCACCTGTGAATTCATCCTGCATACTAGCTAAGGGAATTCTCTACTTGATCCTTTCACAGTGCCATCTCCGTCAAAATTCATCAACAGTCAATGTTTCATATTTTTAAAATAATTTTCCCAATTCTAATTAAATTATCAGTTGTTCTTTTCTGTAAATGTGAAGAAAATAATTATTACCCCAAATGGAAATGATGCTACAGTCACGTGATTATTCCCAAACTATTGTTCCCCCCCCCTAAAAAAAGGACTTGTTTTAAAAGTACAAAACGAGGTCAGCTAAAGTAACTTCTAAGCTTCTAATTTATCAAAGCAACAGTTTCATTCATATACAATGTACTACTCCATTAGGTTAGATATTTCAGTTTATTTATGTGACTGGTGAATACATATGACTACAAATTTAGGTAGTAGAAGTATTAACTGTATGACACCAGGATGTTAGATCAGTGTGAAGGAAAGATTTACCTAGTTATCATATTTCACTTCCACTTCTCTTACGGATCAACGCTCATTCAGCATTGAACGAGAGATGTATGTGTCAGTATTCTATCCCAGATAGCTTCGTATTCAAAATTAACAATGTGAAATGCTAAAACAGGTTAAGACTGTGTACAAGAGTTCATAGTAATCGATGAAACATGAGATTTGCTTAAAATGAAAAGAAACAAACGCTTATCCAGAAGAGAGTGAATTATATAAATTACACAAAATGACGAAATTGAAAGTATGGAAAATGGTATATTGTCTTCATTGTGGGAGGAGTTCAGTGTGTAAATATGCACTCACTATAGTCAAAAATATTTATGAATACATATTATTCAAATGACGAGGAGGAGGTACAGTGTTGAAAATAGCAATCTATATCATTGTACTATACTTTGAACTGTCTAAATGAGGTATTCCAAGCAAAGATTCCTGGTACTTTGAAGGCTGCAGTCTACATTTAATATGAAAGTAAGCAGTAACAAATACTCTAGAATCAGCCTACTCTGAGACCTACTAGACACAGGTCTTAAAACACTTCAGACGAGAATTCACGTCCAGTGAAGTACTCAGAATTGATGGTTTAGCGTTTTCTAGCAGTTGACTTCATGCACTACCGTTAAATTTTCCAAATACATGCAAAAATAATGACTTTTTTATTGTTAAATTATTTCTAAGCTAAAAACTGAAAATTACGTTCAAAATTAACAAAATCTTCGCATGACAATATGGTGAATAAATGAAGACACGAAGATTAAGAAACCCAAGAGCGTATACATAAGTAGGATTTTATTTCCGTAAGAATATTTTTTCTTGTTAAACACCTTCTGTTTAGAAAAAAGGATACCTCATGTTTAATCAATAGAATTACTCAAAACAAAACTCAGAACAGAAGTTAATAATCTGGGCTTTATGAAATGAGTAAAATTCATCAACTGTATTTGATATCTCAGAAAAAATGATGAATCAAAGACTTGGTGGACGCGTCAACAAAAAGCATTTCCAACAGCCTGCTGCAGACTTCTAACAACAGCTGTCTCCGCTACATACTCAAGAACAGATGGCCAACAGCCAGAAAGGATTACCAACAAGCGACTTTGGAAACAAATCAACAAAGAACCCATCATCACACAAGTATGCAGAAAGAAGTGATGATTTGAAAATACTCTGGAGAGACAGTGGATTAACAACATATGCAAGGCACGTCCTCCAGTAGTACCTGAATCATGTCTGTCCGAGGATGAGATTGTGTTAGGAGGAAACAGAAGCTTGTAGACAAACACTACGCTAGCTCAATTAGAATGGCAGAGAACAAACGGTGAAGTGGCAATTTGCAACTGATTACCATGTTCCATTGTGAAATCAAGGAAGTAGTAATCAATGATAATAGTAATACGTAAGTGTTAATCTGTTTAATCGAACAAATTCTAAGTAACAGTCTTAGTTGTTAGGATGATAGTAATTAGTACAATGAACACTCTCTTCACAGCGACTTTTTTCCCATCGCTGTACACAATCACATTTACAAACAATTATTCTGACAATCACAAGTAGTGTATTCATTAGAATAGATACTCCCGGGTGACAACAGAAATAGCCAAAATATATCACACTGTGTTCTGTATGTTGGCTGGAATGTTGTACTTCATGCAAACCAGACGATAAATCTTGTCATTTCGAAGATGTGAGATGGATAGAACGTGAATGAATAGTCATTTTGTGAATAACACTCACTATGCGACATCAAATATCTTTCAACTCGGACAACAAAAATAACGTCGTATGTAAAATACATCTCTGAGTTTTCAACATATCAAGACTGAAGTAATAAAATAAAGTGAATGAAAGTCATATATTCACTGATTGTCGATCTGAGTCGTATCGATAAGTATGAATTAACTGGATCTCTGATATTATGTGAGGCTTTTGAGGCCACTGAATGAGGAGGAAGCATAAATCTCCTCAGACGCCATCTTTACTATAAATGTCTTACGAGATTTCTCCTTTTGTTTAGACATTGGAGGTTTTTCACGTGTTAATGAAAGTGTGGAATTACGTCATTGTGGTAGATCATATTTTCATAAGTAATTATAATTCAACCAACATACAGTGACATAGTATTGATACATGGACAATGTTAACGCCAGGAACCCAACTAACAAGTCAGAAAATACAAACAATGAAATCAAACAAATAAAAGTAAAGCATTCTCAGTGTTTAAGGATATGCCAGATTTTATTCCAGATGTACGGAGATCCATATGGAAAATGAGAACGATAACTTAAATAATATTAAATAATAAGGAATTCAAAGCCTCAAAAACACTTCGACATAGAGGAGGACACATCTGAACATTGCATAAGATTCTGAATAAGCCTATACTTATAGTGGAATTTAAACAAACCAACTGACTCAGGGACAAACATTGTCATTTGAAGAACCTGATATATCCGAATGAGAAAATAATAAAATTTTCCAGATACTGTGTAGTGACTGTGAGGTCAGTTACACAGGTCAAACTAGTAGATTGAATTTAATAAATTAGACTATCGGGACATTGGAATTTAGCTAGACCTAGAATAATTGACTCTACTGAGTTAAATAAGTCATGAAAATACTCAGCCATTTCAGTGCAGTCACTTGCATTCAGTCTCACAGCAGGGTGAGATAAGGTGAAGATATGAATAAGTGATATAGTTAGGTGGAAAGAAAGGTTAGTCAATAAAATCAATGTTCATCGAATCACCACTTAACACGTGCAGTTGAAATTATGCAAAGCATATAACGTGGATATCGAAAATTACAAAGAATATCAAGGGGATAGAAGTAAAAATGCGTAAAGT